TCAGTAATTAAAATAGGGGATCAGCCCAGTAGTAGCTCCCCCCCCCCTTCTGTTTAAGGGCAGCTTCAGAAAAATGCGGGAGGCGCCTCTGCTTCAAACTTGGCCTGCTAGTTTGAAGAAGTGGATCCTAGAGGTGGATGCAGTAGAAAGCTACTTTTCCTGAGTGCTCCCTCTTTCTAGAGCCCCCCCAAGGAAGGAGGCAGAGTCCCAGGAAATATGGTTGATATCTATCTATATATATATATTTTGACTCAGCCTTCCATGGTGGGTAAAATGAGGATCCAGATTGTTGAGGGCCATAAGCTGACACTGTAAACGACTAAGAGAGGGCTGTAAAGCACCGTGAAGCGGTATCTAAGTCTACGTCAGGGGTGTCAAACTCAATTTCACTGAGGGCCGCATCAGGGCTGGGGTTGACCTCAGCGGGCCCGGGGATGGGTCGTGGCCAACTGGGAGGGTGTGGCCAACTTGACACCACTCCCTAAACGGCTGGCCTGTTTCCTCTTCGCATTGGGTAAGCTGGGTTGAAGCGCGATGCAGGCCGGCCCCGCGGACCGGATCTGACCACACTGAGAGGCCTGCGGGCCTTAAGGTTGACCTTCCCCCCCCCTGGTCTAAGTGCTGTTGCTATGGCTATTTTTGAAGCTTTCCTCCCAACTCTGGAAGGTGGCATTGAGGATGGACAGGCAGGAAGCAACGTGACCTCTAATCGAGAGGCTAAAATTTTGTAATAAATTTCAAAGTAGCCTATTTGTCAGAGCTGACTTTTTGAGAGTGCCCCCGTCCATTTCTAGCGAGGGAGAGGTGATTGGCTTGTGTCTCTGGAGCAGGACTGGGCAATTAATTTCCTGAAAAGGCCCCATGAGAAACTGGGACTGTTGTGGAAGGCTGAACCGGTGTAGCTGTGAAGGTGCGTAGGCACACAGGCAACCACATACGTAACTTTTTTTAAAAAAAAAAAACAGTTGCCTTCAAAATAAAAGCAATGCAGTTGTCCTTGACTTACAACTGTTCATTTAGTGGCCATTCAAAGTTACAACAGCATTGAAAAAAGTGAGTTAAGAGCATTTTTTTTTTCCCCGGTTGGGGCATCTCCATGATCACATGTTCAAAATTCAGACGCTTGGCTGCCGACTCATCTTTATGACGGTTGCAGCGTCCCAGTCATGGGATTGTCTTTCCCCACTTTTTGACAAGCAAAGTCTACAGGGAAGCCAGATTCACTTAACAACCTTATTACTCACTTCACAACTGCAGTGATTTACTTCACTGTAGCAAGAAAGGTTGCAAAACGGGGCAAAACTTAACAAATGTCTCTCTTAGGAACAGAAATGTTGGGCTCAATTGTGGTCGTAAGTTGAGGACCACCCGGACTGCCTGCATGGCCTACTCTTACTTACCTTTGATTTCTAATTTTCGATTGACCTGACACAGGCCAGTAAGATGCCCAGGTGTCTCCTAGAGGGGACAATGATATTTCGGGAGAGCGAGAATGAGCTCCACCCTTATGAGGTCACGCATGGAAGAATACAGGTGGTCCTCAACTTATGACCACCATTGAGCCCCAAATTTATATGCTTCAAGTGAGACATTTGTTTCCCTTAACTTTGTTTGCTCCATTTTTACGACTCCCTTGCCACATTTGTTAAGTGGCTCACTGCAGCTCTTCAGTTAGCGACACGGTTGTTAAGCAAATTGGATTCCACCCCGTTGACTTTGCTGGTCAGAAGGTTGCAACTGTCCTAAACGTGATGAAAATCATGTGACCGTGGGGATGCTGCAGTCGTCGTAATTACAAAAAAACGGGCATAAGCGACTTTTTTTCAGTACCATTGTTAACTTTGGTCACTAAATGAACTGTTGTAAGTTGAGGACTACCTGCAGCTTGCTCTTGACCAGGGGGGTTTCTCCTTCCAGCTGCTGCCGAGAATCCCCTCCTCATTCTAATCCTGGTTCTCTCCCATTTTTTCCTCCAGGCCCGCAGAGAGACGCTCAAGCAGCCCGGGAATTTATCCTCAAAATGTTTGTGGATCTCAACCCCGACAGCGATAAAATTATCTACTCTCACTTCACCTGTGCCACAGATACGGAAAATATCCGGTTTGTCTTTGCTGCCGTCAAGGACACCATCCTGCAGCTCAACTTGAAGGAATATAACCTAGTCTGACCTTGAATGAATCTGCCCTCTTCTCCCGCCCTCCCGATCCGCCCCTCCCTAAATCTCTTTGGGAGACCTTTTGTCGTGAAGAAAAGTAAGACAAACGAATCCCATGAATTTAAACCCAACAGGAAAACGATCTTGATTTTTTTTAATGATGTAATGATTGCAAATTGTCTGATCTGTGGAGTGGCAAAAAGGTTTTTTTTTTTGTTTTCTTTTTTTTTTTTTTTTAAGCACACCGTTACCTTCGGTCTCGTGTCTGCCCCACAGAATAGCTGATTTTTTTTTTTTAAAGAAAGAAATTGCTTTTATTTCACAGTTTAAAAACAGTGGGGGACATGCTTCACTTTTTTTTCTCTCTCTGGCACCTTGTTAATTTCCTGCTTCGTTGCCGGCAGTCAAGGCGGTTTCCTCTCAGACTTTGTACGTTGCATTAGTAAGTTCTTCTTTTTTCTTTTTTTTTTTCCTGTCTGATCTGGCGATAAAACGTATCCCAGACCATCGAGCCAAAATAATGAGCTTTATTCGGCTGCGGGAGTATAAAATTGTAGCTAGGACCTTCAGCTTCTGTGCCATATAATAATGTCTCTGGGGTGAGTCCTGCCTCCCCTTCCTCCCCGTACATCTTGACTGCAAGAATATGTGCCGAAAGGGTTTACCCTAGATGACATCGTCAGAGGGAAACCCAGTTTGCGACAGCGCAAAAACAAGCCGTCTTTTGGTTCCCGCGTTCTTTCGTTGCTTTTTTTTATTCTCTTAGTTTCCTTCCCTCTGAAAGTTCTGTTTGAGACTGTGATTTATTATTTTTTTTTAAATTATTGTTCTACACGTAGTTTGCTACATGTGCTATACTTTCGTTTGTTGACTACCAACCAAGCAATAGCTATCAAGCCTGAGGGAAGTGCCTGATTGCATTTTTTTTTTTTTGTTTTGTTTTGTTATCCTTTTTTTTTTCTTCCTGTTTTCTAATTTAGTGTTTAAGGAAAAAAAAGAAAAAGAAAAGAAGAAGAAGAAAGTTAAAAATTTGCTTCTCACCCAACGTGAGAAAAAATCCCTTCGGTGGGAATCCGAAAATCTGCGCCAGGTTTTGGGCCGGAAGGAAGATTTGAGGTTTTGACTCATTCTCTTGGATCGTTTGTGTGCGCGCGTGTGTGTGTGTGTATATATGTATGTGTGTGTGTTTTGCAAATTAACCCTTTGGGATTGGGAAAAATCTTGACCCAGTGTTTGGTCGGGGTAGGGTTAAGATGGTGTCTGCATTCTGAGTCAAACTGAAGCAACCTTTTATTTTTTATTTTTTATTTTTTCGCCTTGTTGGTCCTAAAAAGTATTGGAAAGGTCTTGTCAGCTCTTGGCGTGATTGCAGCCACATCAGGGGAGGCCTTTGAATGACAGTGCCAAGGCTGGTGTGATTGGCAGCTGCTGCCATCCCTCCTCCCATCTTCTTGACCCCGTTCTCTCTCTCTCTCTCTCTCTCTCTCTCTCTTTCTCTCTCTCTTGGAAGCCGGCTCACTCTGGGGGTGGCCAGGAACGTGCGTGAAAAGGAGCCCAGCCAAAGGGACCTGTGGAATAGAGGCGGTTTTATAGGTGTAGCTTTGAAGTGGACCAGGTCAGAGGGGTCCCCTTTTTGGAGAGGCTGAGTGCCAAATGTGTGCCCTGCTCCGAGCCAGTGCCAAACCAGTGCCAAACTTTTGCCAGTCTTTTCGGAAAGCAGATGGCCGCAGGACCCAACTAGGGGAATCGAGAGAAATTAGCCGGTCTCCCTCTCTTCTTCCGGAGATCCCCCGGGTAGCTAAGCAGCAACACAATATAAGCATCTCGCAACTGCCAACCGTCAACATTTACAGATGCCGCGAGAAACAGCCTTTTTTTTTCACCAATGGGACAAACGGGCCGATCCCCGGAAAAGGATGGGAGCCTCCGATGTGCTTCCCCCCCCCTTTTTTTAAATGTTTTTTTGTCACGTTGCAACGGGCAACACGAGTGGACTTCCGCGCATGAGATGTTAATGAAGGGTTTGAGGGGGCGTGTTTTGCTTCGACAACGACAACACTAATTTCGCATGGACGTTTGCAGCATTCCAGCGGGGGGGGGGGGGGGGGGGGGGGGGGGGGAGCGGGGGTGCTGCCTTTGGCTTTCTGGGATCGCCCCCCCTTTTTTTTGTGGAACACTACAGAAAGAAGCCGGGGCAGGGAGAGCTGCATTTTTTGGGGAGGTGGGGTGAGTCCCTCCCGCTTACCCTTGCATTGTATCAACAACACACGGTGAATGAGAAGTTACTAAAATTGGGAGAAAGTAACCTTCAGTTACTACAGAGTAACTACACAAAAGGGCTCGTTGGGTTGATGGGGGGGGCGGGCGGGAAGAAACGGAGCTATTTTCCAATGTCACCAACATTCCTGACTTTTTCTTAATTGTGTTGATCTAAAATGTCTTGTGGGGGGGGGACTGTGTTTTAGGGATTTGGGGCAGGGGAAACGAATGGATTCCCCCCGATAGGCAGAGGAATGTCGAATTTTGTCTTCTCGCCCAAAGACCCACCAGACTTGACTTTCCGTAAGGGGAAACACTGTCCTCGCAAAGGTGCCATGACTTTAAACTCTCGGGAAGCCCCCTCCCTGGAAGTGTTTTTTCTTGGATGGCGTGACGAGACCCTGCCCTCTGCGGCGGGCTTTCACTGCAGGCCTTGGACCCCGGGAGACTCGGATCGGGAGCGCCTGGCCCGTCACTCTCGGCATCGCCTTTCCAGGAAATGGGCCTCCATCCCGGACCGCCGTGCCTGCCCGAGCGGGCCCTTCCTCCGTAAGCCGCTGGGGAGCCGCGTGGAGATGGTGTGCGGGGTATGTGTGCGTGTGTGTGTGTGTGTGGAGGGGTGCTCTTCTTTTCTCGCAAAGCCGCACTACGTGGACCAGCCGTCGTCGGGATGGAAGTTCCCACCCCCTTGCGGGGTGTTTCTGCTCCGGAGTTGTGCCAACCTTCCTCTCCCATCGCAGCTACGTTCCTCCCTTCCTCTTCCGCTGGCTGGGCCGATGGGAACTGGTCGAGGTTCCAGATGACCCCCCCCCCCACGAAAGAAAAGGCCGGCGGGGGCCCTTGGAATCGGGCCTGTGTGTGGCGGAGGCAGCCAAAGTTAAAGACGGGAGCAGTCTGACCATGTTCTTGTTCACGGTGCACTTTATATGAAGAAAACTAAAGAAGGAGAAAAGAAAGGAAGAGTCCTACTGAAGAAAGCACTAGCCTGCTCACACACACTTCTGTCAGGCTGCAGGCGGAAAGAGGATCGCCAAAAACGCACCATTCCATTTCCTTCGGGTGTGGGGGGGGGAGAAACGGGGACTTTGCGGCGTTTGGCCTACCCAACCGGCAGCTGCCCCCCCCCTTCCAACAGCCTCCCCTTGGGATTGAATTCTCCACCTGCTTTTTGCCTTTTTATCGTGCGCCCCTCCCTCCAGACACATTTTATAGCTACTTTTGGGGGGCGGTGGGGGGAAGTGTAGGATCGTGCTTGACCGGAACGGAAGGCCGAGTTCACCATCCGACGTTTCAAGTCTGTAATTCAGTACTCTCTGTGTGCGTGTGCGTACGTTGTATACTTTTTCTTTTTAATTTTCAAGAAGAAGAAGAAAAAGAGAAGCATTATTACATGGTTTTGTGCCAATGCCCATTCTTTTCTTTAGTACCAGAGACACTTTTACAAGTACCAGTGTGGTGAAAAATTATTTGGTTATACTAGTATATTATAAACAGAGAACCTGATTTAAAAAAAAGAATAACATTTAAACGTCCTATTTAAAAAGAATATAAAAATGCTGTTTTTAAAAACCTTTTTTTTTTTGTCATTTTGAACTTGCATGTGGTGTTAACACGTGGGGGCAGGGTGGGCAAAGGAGGGGATTTGGAATTGCGTGGCCCGGGGTTGGTATTCCCCCCCCCCCCTTTGTGTTCCTGTCTCGCACTCCCGACGGCGAGGAGGAGGAGGAGGAGGAGGAGGAGGCAGAGGCTGGGTTTCTCGGAACACTTGAATTCGTTCATCTGCTGGGTGCTGACCCTCCTTATTTTAGAAGTACCTGATGGGAAATTGATTTTCATAGCTTTCTCCTGAATAAATTGTTTGAAATTGGAATAAAATTCATTCCTTACAAAAACCATCCTCTGTCGTCCTTGTTCTCTTATGTGCTTTTTTTTAAAAAAAAAAATTTGAAGAATGACAAAGGAGTCCTTAACTTACAAACTTCGCTTAGTGACTCTGGTAAAAGTGACTTGGAACCATTTTTCGCACCTGCAGCGGTTGCAGCATCCCCAGGGTCATGCGGACAAAATTCGAGGGCTTGGCAACTGACTCATAGTTACGACGGTTGCGGTGTCCCAGGGCCACATGATCCCCTTTAGCGACTGCCTGACAAGCAAAATCAATGGGGAAGCCAGACACACTTAACAACCGTGTGACTAATTTAACCGCTGCAACGTCTCACTTAACTGCCGTGGCAAAAAAACATGAAATGAGGCCCAACAACAACCGTCTCACTTGGCAACGTAAAAGTTGGACTCCATTGTGGTCGCAAGTGGAAGACTGGATGTAAATTAAATTGGAAAATAGCTTCCCTATTTACCCCAATCTAGAGTTGCAGATTTAATAAATAAATGTGTATGATTGAGAGACAGGTTGAGGTATTGGCTGAAGGCGAGAGAAGCGGCTCCGTGGCTATTCAAACACAGAATATCCGGTTGGCTTTTACCTCAGGAGGCCAGATACCATTGGGGGGGGGGGGGGGGGGGCTTGGTTTTCCTCATATTATTTTGAGGAAGATAGGCTTATTAAACTATAGAGCAAGATGAATCCACTGCAGATCGTCCTCGACTTACAACAGTTCATTTAGTGACCATTCAAAGTTTACAACGGCACTGTGGAAAAAAAAGTCTAGTGACCATTTTTCAGACAACTGTGGTTGTCTCTCATAATGTGATCAAAATTTGGATGCTTGGAAACTACTGATTCCTGTTCATGACGGTTGCGGGGTCCCAGGGTGATGTGATCCCCTTTTGCGACCACCTTACAAGCAAAGCCAATGGGGGAAGTTAGATCCACTTAACAGCCGTGCTAGGAACTCAACTGCTGCGGGGATTCGCTTAACAACCGTGGCACAAGAGGTCCTAAAATGGAACAAAATTTGGCTAACAAATCTTTCACTTAGCCACGCAAAAAATTGGGGCTCAGTTGTCGTTTTGTTGAGGCCTACTATTCTGTAGGCAGATGCTTTGAAGAATAATGTGTGGTGGGTCAATGGTGGAGTTAAAAATGAGCATAGAACCGGAACGAAGTTTTGGTTTTTGTGAAACCGTGTCGTGGCCTGGAGATTTCCATGACGGGGGTATAGATAACATGGGGCTTCAATTCACATTGGCCCTCCATTCTCTCCAGGCCAAAGGGAAACATTGATTTGGACAGGAAATTGGAATGGAAATTTCCTCATTAATAAGTCACCATTCTGAGCGAGATGAAGGCAACATAGTTGAAGAACCTAGCTGGAATGGCTTGAGCAGAGGGTTGGACTAGAAGACCTCCAAGGTCCCGTCCAACTCTTGTTATTCTGTATGAAGCTAGATAAGAAACTTCAAGGATGTTGTAAAAGCCACCATGGAGTTGAAGCATCCAGTGAAGCCCCATTCAGTGCCAGGACCCCAATTAGAGCATTTAGACCGGGAGCTTCTGACCTTTGGCAGACTTGTGGACTTCAACTCCCAGAATCCCTCAGCCAACCGTGCCACCTTGGTTAAAACAGCTCGTCAGCTTCTGTCACGCGTGAATCCACACCCGCCTACTACCATCAACCTGGAGACGTCTATTTTTCCACAGAGCTGAAATTTCAAACTTATCCGGAGCTTCTTAGAAATCTGAATGGAGCATGCTGGTTGGGGAATTCTGGGAATTGAAGTCCGCAAGTCTTCCAAAAGGTGCCGAGGTTGAACGCTCCTGACGTGGAGGGATCTCCAGCCACTGGGGAGCCCACAATTACTCAGAGTCACTGATTCCGCTGTTGAATGGATTTTTTGTGGTGTTGTTTTTAAACAACTTATTAGGAACTCGCCTTCCTGAACTGTTCTTTTATGTCCTCCCCTCTGGAACAGCTACAGGTCCCGTGCAGTCATTTTTTTCCTCGGGCCTAAACCTCCAACTTCAGTCATCACAGAACTTGGCTTATAGTCCCCGGATCAACCTCAGCCTCTGAATCCTTCAAGGATCATCTTTTAACCTGCTGAGGTTAGCCGGCAGCAGGTGCGGATGGTGGAGGAGACTGAGGACTCAGATGAAGGGCCAGGACCATGAGGGAGATTGTGGGGGCTGGCAGCAGCGATGAGGAGGTTCCCGAGGAGCCTGTGCCCGGTGCACGTGTGCGCGGGATTGCTCATAGAGAACAGTTACAGCAGCACGGGCGACTCGGGAGTAAGGCTGCAAGGTAATGGCCCCTTCTTCAAGAGGATAAAAGCCAGGTTTGAAGAAGCGTTCCTTGCAGAAGGCAAAGACGCTCTGAAACTCAACCTCGTGGGCATTATAGTTAGTATTTGAAAACTCTTGTAAACTATTTCTTATCTGTGGGTTTTTGGCAGCCTTTGGCAAGTTTCTTTCTTGTCGGAGCTAAATTAGTTGGAAGCAGCCTTTTATCTGTGAAGAAACCGTATTTGTAGATTAAACTTTAAAAAGTGGGGGCTGCTGCCTTTGTCTGGTGTTTGCTCTCTTGGAACCAGGTTGGGTCAGAACATAACCCCATAATCCCACGCGACCCCATAATCCCTTGGGGAGTGGAGCCTGAGCAACTGAATGGAGCTAGCTGAGTGTTTTAATGGCCGGATGCCCCTCCTGTTGCCAATGCGGAGTTTTGTTCAGTAGATATATTCTCAGTGTGCACAAAGAGACAGAGAGAGAGAGAGAGAGAGAGAGAGAGAGAGGGAGGGAGGGAGGGAGAGAGAGAGAAATATCTGCCTTTACCTAGGATCGAACTCACAGCCTGATTGTGAGGCGAGAGCTCCCGTTCTAGGCCACCGCACCGTTTCTCCAAATCCTTCAAGGACGATGCCTTAGAAATGGACCCACTCTTCTAATTGGGGTCTGAGCAAGCCAGACTCAAAAGGGAGCCATTAAACTTTGCGGTGATAGCCAAAATTGCCTTTCGCTTTTTGCAGCCTTGCCCAAAGCACAGTTAATTCTGGATTTTAATTTGGCCTCTTTTGAGTATAATAAACTACTTTCCCTCCCCAACCCCTCCTTTTTTTTCTTTTTTTCCTTTGACAATTTGCAAACTTTCCTTGCAGCACTTAAACTCTTTATTTTTTAAAAAAAAACGAAAGTCTGATATTTGGTGCCTTTTTCCAATTTGTAGAGAGATTCTCAGCCATCCAGGCCATGGTTGCTCCAAAGGTGGGCTTTTTTTTTTTTTTTTTCAGGAGACAACTGGACTTTTTGGTTTTCTTTTGAAGGCGTTTCGCTTCTCCTCCAGGAAGCTTCTTCCGCTCTGACTGGATGGTGGGGAATGAAGGGATTTATACTCCTTGTATAATGACACAGCTGGTCCTTTGCATCCTTTTTAGAGGGTCGTTGAGGCCACTTGGAGGTTTCTCTGTGTCCTCAGGGTCACCTGAGTGATGCAAATGATTCCTGCAGTCCTCCATTTTCTCCTCTGGAAACCCATTCCTACACCCACCCCATTCGAAGGGTGTTCATCCCAAATTGTATAGCTCAAAGTCCGTAGAGATTCTCCGTCATCCAGGTCGTAGTTGCTCCAAAGGTGCCTTTTTTCAGGAGGCAACTGGACCTTCTGGGGTTTTTATTTCCCCTTTGGAAGATGTTTCTCTTCTCATCCAAGAAGCTTCTTCAACTCTGACTGGTTGGTGGGGAAATGGAAGGATTTATAGACCGATAATCTTAATTTTTTTTTATTCTGGGCTCGGCTGTGTGTGTCTTTTTAATTACCCTAATCCTGTCCAGCCCACAATTAAAACAAATCTCCCCAAATATATGGCCTCAAACACATCATCGAATGCTTTGCTAATACGGGAGTCAGGGTGTCCAGGCAGTCCTCGAGTTACAACCATCCGTTGAGTGACCGAAATTCCAACAGCACCGTAAAATGGCTTCAGATCATATTTTGCATTGAGCGACGGTTGCGGCGTCGTGGTTACATGGTCCAAATTCAGAGGCTTGGCAACTGGCTTGTACTCAGGAGGGTTGCAGAGGTGGTATTCAGCCAGTTCTGACCAGTTCTGGAGAACCAGTAGCGGAAATTTTGAGTAGTTCTGGAGACCCGGCCAATCTCACCTCTGACTGGCCCCGCCCCCATCTCTTCTCCGCCTCCCGAGTCCCAGCTGATTGGCTGGGTCTCCTTTGGTTGCCCTGCACAGGAGAATGGAGCTGGAAAGCAGGTTAGTGGGGTGGGGAAGGAATGGGGATTTTGCAGTGTCCTTCCCCTGCCACTCCCACCAAGCCACACCCACTGAACCGGTAGTAAAAATATTTTTCTATCCCATAACGACCGTAGTGATTCGCTTACCCACCCTGGCAGAAAAGGTCGTAAAATGGAGCGCAACTCCCATTAACAACAACTCCCATTAACAACTTAGCAATGCAAGTTTTGGGGCTCCGTTGTGGTCGTAAGTCGAGGACTTGTCTTTATGGAGGTAGTCCTCAACTAAGCGACCGCAATTGAGCCCAATGTTTCTCGTTGCTAAGCGAGACATTTTTTGAGTCAGTTCTGCCCCATTTGACGACCTTCCTTGTACAGTCCTTAAGTGAATCACAGCAGTCATTAAGTAAGTCACACGGTTGTTAAGTGAACCTGGCTCCTCCCCCTCCCCCCTGGACTTTTCTTGTCAGAAGGTCCCAAAAGGGGATTACGTGACCCCCAGGACACTGCAACGGTCATAAATGTGAGTCAGTTGCCAAGCGTCCAAATTACGTGACTGACTATGATGCCGCAGTGGTCCTAAGTGTGAAAGGTGGCCATAAGTCCCTTCGTTCAGTGCCGTTGTAACTTCGGTCACTAAATGAACGGTTGTAAGTGGAGGACTGCCTGGGCCTGCATTCGCGCCTACCTACCCGCACATCCCACCCTTCTCCTTTGAGATAAGCAGGAGCCATAAGAAAACCTGGAGC